GTGATGGTGGTGATAGTGGTGATGGTGATGGTGGTGGTGATGGTGATGATGGTGGTGATGATGGTGATGGTGATGATGGTGATGGTGGTGATAGTGGTGATGGTGATGGTGGTTGGTGATGGTGGTGGTGGTGGTGTTGATGGTGGTGATGGTGGTAATGATGGTGATGGTGGTGATGATGGTGATGGTGGTGATGATGGTGATGGTGGTGATGATGGTGATGGTGGTGATGGTGATGGTGGTTGGTGATGGTGATGGTGGTGGTGTTGATGATGGTGGTGATGGTGGTAATGATGATGATGGTGGTGGTGATGGTGATGGTGGTGGTGGTGGTAATGGTGATGGTGATGATAGTGATGACAATGGTGGTGATGATGGTGACAATGGTGAGTACCTGAATGGGTTACCTGATGGTCAATGCCCCTTCTAGCTTCCATGCTAGATGCCCTGTTTGCTTGAGTCTTGGCATAGTGACTTCCAATTGAGCCCTTGGCATGGCCTCTGCTGGAGAGAAGCAAGACTTGCTGTGTCACTTCATTTGGGCGTCACTTCACTGGAGGGCCTGCCTGCCCTCCACCCACTCTGTCCCCATTCTGTCTTTAATATTCCGAATGTTGGTTAGTGGGCTTGTGGGAGGATTGTTTGGTGGGTTGTGTTAATGTCCACCTGCCCCTTTGTGGAGATGTAAGCTCCCTGAGGACAGGAACAGAATCCCTCATGTCCCCACAGTATCCTGGGACCTAGAGCAGCCTCGGTGCTTGGCAGGCACTGAACAAATCCTGTGTGATCTGGAGCTGCTGCTGGTCCCTGGCCGACAGGATTGCAGGAGTCTGGGGTACAGTCTCCAGCCTGCTCAGCACTGACGTTCTGCTCTGATCCTCCAGTTGAAGAGGAAGTACCGCGTGGGGTCCATGCAGGGCCCCAAGCACCTTCTATGTGCTCTGGCCACGAATGGCTTCGACTGATGGCCTTGTCTGGTTACGTTTGACTGTGGACAGTGGCTATGCCCAGGGCCCAGACACTGGGGGAGGGTGCTCGGGAGCATTCCGGGACGTCCTGCAGCCTCCGCACGCCAGGATGCTGCACGCAGGCCCCGAAGCTGGGGCCACGGCAGCGCTGACGGTCAGGGCTGGATCCCAGCGGCCACGCATGTCAGGGCTCCCTGTGGGCCAGGGCTTCACCCGGGTCCCCTCACTCCATCGTCCTGCAGAGGGAGGTGTTGTTTATTCCGCCTTTACCAGCGGGGAAGAGGAAATGGATGCGCAGGAAAGTCAGGAAGTCTGGCAGCCCGGTGTCCACCGCTGGTGAACGCTGCAGCCTGGATCGAGTGTAGCCCGGCGACACGCAGCATCCTGCCCTCAGGAGCCAGGCTGGGCCCACGGCGGTCAGCCCAGACTGTCACAGCGGCGGGGCCTCAGGGTTGCCCGACTCCCAGCCTGGGGACTCGGAGGAAGTCGGGCTCCTGCTGTTACTTCCTGAGGTTGAAAAAGCTTACTTAAGTATAAATTTTCTGAGACGAGCGGACGGCGCGTGTTTCCGCCGCGGCGGTGGCTGGTGTGCTGAGACACCGCTCGCACTGGTCGGAGCTCTGGTTTGCAGCAGAAACCAGCGTCCGTCTGTAGACAGAACCTTGCAGACCACAGGTGCCAGGCAGAATGAGGAAAGAGCTCTTGGCCCTTACCAAGGCCCTTTGGCCGGGCCTCCTTCTCTCCGAGGGTCTGTGGCCCGTGGTGTGCCGCGACCTCACAGCACCGAGGCTGAGCGGAGCCCACCTAGCGCCTCCCCACACGGCAGTGCTGAAGGGCCGGGGTCTCTGACACGCTCGGCTGCAAATCTAGACAGTCCTGCACCTCACGGTGACTGGGTCACGGGATCCAAACATCCTGGCCCCTAGGCCTGGCCTTGTTGGGCTCATCTGTGTCCTCTTCCAGGGTGGACACCATGGTGGACCTGCTGGACAGGGACCGTCTGAAGAGGTCGGGCTCCGTGGAGCAGAGGCTGGCCTCGCTGGAGGAGCAGGTGGGTTTGCGTCGGGGCTTCTGTCCACGGGGCGCGCATGGCCTGCAGGGTCCCTCTGCGGGGTGGTGGCATCGAGCATGAGCACCCTGGGAAATGACAGCGAGGAGAACGTGGGAATGTCGGGAAATTGTCCCCAACTGGCAGAGACGCCTTCTCTGTCCTCCAGCAAACTCCTCCCAGATGCACATGTGGTCGCGCCCGCCTGCCTGCAGCCCGAGCGTTCACGTTGGGGCAACCTGCTGCCGTCCCTGCCCGGCCAGGGGGCTGCGGACCCTGTGCCTGCACTTGGGCGAGGGCTGCAGCGAAGCAGGGGAGGGACGGAGGGACAGCCACGGTGACCAAGCACAGTTGCTTTTAAACTTCCATGTGCTTGGTGGCTCCGAAGCAGTGTCAGTGAGGAGCATGCACATGGAGGCTGTCACTCACAGACCCTCAGCCTGGCCCTGCTGGGTGGTGAGAGTGTCCTGGGGCTGCCCTAACAAGTGATCACTCCGGGGCTTGCACAACAAGACTTCGTCCTCACAGTCCAGGGCCGAGGTCCAACCCAAGTCGTGGGCAGGGCCAGCTCCCTCCGAAGGCTCCAGGGGAATCCTCCCCGCCTCCTCTGCCTCTGGCGGTCCCAGGCGCCATCCCATGGCCGTCCTCCCATTGTGCGTCACCTGTGTCCTCTCCTCTCCTTATGGAGATGCGGGTCGCTGGAATGGGGCCACCCCAATGGCACACAGTCTCCTTCACCAGTTATACCTGCAAAGGCCGTGTTTCCAAGCCAGGGCGTGTTCTGAGGCTCTGGGTGCGCGACAGTATTTGGGGCTGCGGTTCTGCACGTGCTCTGGGAGTGTGGCCTGGACAGGTCCTAGCCAGGAGGGAAGACGGGTTGAGCGGAAGGGTGGCTGAGGGGGTGAGAGGGAGGCCGTGCCAGGGTCACGCTGGCCAGGCAGCGCCAGGTTTCCCGGATGGAGGGTGGCACAGCCACAGGCACCAAGGGGCATGGAGCTGAGGGTGGCAGAGCCTGGGCTGCCATTGCCCAGGATGGGCCCTGTCCTTGTTCGGGGACTGGGGGACTCAGCAGGACAGCTCTGCAGGCTGCACAGCTGGGTGCCAGGACTGCCGTCAGCAGCGTCCCGGGCTAAGTTCGTGTCCTGACCAAGGGGGGCAGGTCCAGCCCCTGCCTCTGAGCGTACTTCCGCCTCCGCCCACATCCATGCCCACTGGCCGGGCCCCTGCTGCCCACGGCGGCCCCGGGCGGCCAGCGTTGAGCCCCTGGCAGAGGCTCCATGGCTGTTCCCACATTGCGCCTGCCTAGGCGGCCGTCCCCTGTGGGTCCCTGCCTTACTGACACCCTGGGGTGGGTGCAGCAGCGCCACACGTCCCCTGGGCCACGTTAGTCACAGCCTCCCCACCACCCCTGTGGTCGAGCACGCCGGGCTCTGGCGAGAGCCATGGAGGCCACGTCCTTCCATGGTGCTGCCCTCTCCCCACCGTCCAGTCTTGTCTTACTGGGCCTTCACGTTGGTTCCTTTGCCTCCGGTGTGTCCTGTCCTGATGGCCGTTGTGTTGCTTGGCAGCCGGCTCCCTCAGGGAGGCAGGGTGGGTGTGCGTCCTGCCAGTGAGCCTGCGGCCTGGGGAGCAGGCTCGTTCTTAGCTTTTGAAGGGCACAGGGTGCTGAGAGGGGAAGGGTCGGCTTCCAGCTGGGTGCTGGGGTCGCCTGGGGCTGGGGCTGCGAGCCGGGACACCAGCCTCGCTGTCAGGCGGGCAGTGGGCAGAGGGACGCGTGCCGTGTGTGGGCAGTGGGTGCTAACTCTGTCCTCCTGGGACATGCCTTCCAGGTGGCTCAGACGGCCAGAGCCCTGCACTGGATCGTAAGGACCCTGAGGGACAGTGGCTTTGGCTCGGAGGCAGGCGTCCCCGCGCTGGGTGAGTGGGTGGCCATGCCAGCAGCTGGTCTCCCCAGCCTGTGTCCTTTGAGTTGTGGGGTCAGCTGGGCGGAGAGACCTGAGCTCTGCTGGGCCCGCGGGAGGCCGGCTGCGGGCAATCCTGAGCCGCGGGGCAGCGCTGCCCCGCTCTGCCCGTCCACCGACGCAGGCACAGAGCCTCGGCTGCCCCCCAACCTGTCCGGGCTCCCGGGCCCCCAGGGGAGGCCTGGCCTGCTGTGCCCTGAGCTCCTGCTACACGTCACGCTGCAAAGGCGGGGGTGCAGGGAGGACAGCTCCAGGTGACATCTGTGCCTGGTCATGTGGCCAGGACAATGAAAGCGAAGTCTGCTTTACTAAATTTGTAGCCGGCCAAAAAGGGCGTGAGTAACCTTCCTCGGGCCTCGCTGGCCCCACAAGCAAGTCTGGCCTCCTGAGCTGGACCAGCTTCTGTCCCTGGGTTCGGCTCACTGCTGGGAGCTCTGGGCACTGCACAGGGACAAATGCTGGTGGTCACCGCCCTGACGCCCGTGGCTGTCCTTCCAGGGCCAGGGTCCCCAGGAGGGGTGCTCACTCCAGGCTGGCGTCCAGCCTGCATGGCCGTTGGGCCTGGGGAGATGGGGGCGGCCCAGATGTTTGGGGAGGACCACAGAGGAGCCCCTGTCCTGTGGGCCGGGCCTGGCTCTGCGTCACGGCTCCGACTGTTCCCAGCCTCCCAGAAGGCCGCCGAGGAGCAGGACGTGGAGCCGGGCAGCAGGAAGAAGGTGGAGGAGCCGGGCGACGGCTACCACGTGGACGCGCGGCACCTCCTCTACCCCAGCCGCCGCGTCACGCGCTTCCCCGTGCCCAACGAGAAGGTGCCCTGGGAGGTGAGTGACCGGGGGGAGGTGGCGGGCTCTGGGGCAGGCAGGGCGGTCCTGCTCCCACTCTCCAGTCTGAGCGTCTGGGGCCCCAATGCCATCGGCCCTGGCACCCCCACAGCACCCCACAGCACCCCCACATCACCCCACGTCACCCCACAGCACCCCACATCACCCCACAGCACCCCACAGCACCCCACGTCACCCCCATATCACCCCATATCACCGTGTCACCCCATATCACCCCATGTCACCCATGTCACCCCATATCACCCTGGCACCCCCACAGCACCCCACAGCACCCTACAGCACCCCATCACCCCACAGCACCCCCACGTCACCCCACAGCACCCCCACATCACCCCATGTCACCCCCATATCACCCCATATCACCATGTCACCCTGTATCACCCCATGTCACCCATGTCACCCCATATCCCATGTCACCCATATCACCCCATATCACCCATCACCCATGTCACCCCATATCACCCCATCACCCCATGTTACCCTCATGTCACCCCCATGTTCACCCATCGCCCCCATGTCACCCCTATATCACCTCATGTCACCCCCACATCACCTATGTCACCCCCACATCACCCCATATCACTCCCACATCACCCCACATCACCCCCACATCACCCCACATCACCCCATATCACCCCCATGTCACCCCATCACCCCATGTCACCCCCACATCATCCCCATGCTCATTTGACAGGTGAGGAGACTGAGGCACACAGAAGTCAAGTCCCATGAGCCACACAGCTGGAGGGAGGGGCCTAGCGGGCACAGGTCACGCTAGGGCTGCTCCTGAAACCTGCCATCTGCCCTGGCACCGCCCATGTCACCCCACACCACCCCCATGTCACCCCTGGCCTGGATTGCCTCGGCGCCAGAGACGGCCTGCCCCCTTCCTGAGTGGAGAGACAGAGACACACAGGACAGGGGTGGGTCATGACACTGGGGAGGCCCTTCTGGAATATTCCAGGCTGCTGCTTTGCTGCTATCACCTCAATCTGCACCATGGTGGAGTCCTTGTCACCTCTGGGGTCCAGCCTAGCCCCCAGCCCATCCTGGGAAGACCCCCAAGGCCCCAGTCCTGGCCTCCTACCCCTGGGTGGGTCCCCCCCACGTGCACCCCTCAGCTCTGCTGCAACTTGGGGCCGTGCCCCTGCACTTGGGGTCGGTTCCGGTCCACGCCGAGCCACTGCCGTGGCTGTGAACCGCCTCTGGCCCTTGCCGGAGCCTGGGCCCAAATGTGCTCCGGGAGTACAAATCCAACAAGCCCCTGTTCCGCTGCAGACGGAGTTTCTGATCTACAAGCCCCCCTTCTACTCAGCTGAGAGGAAGGATGCAGCCGCCACGGACCCCATGGGAGAGTGAGTGTGATCCCCCTTAGTCCCGAGCCCTGCCCCGGCTGGGCGTCCTCCTGGGGGGCCACCAAGAGCCCCTCAGAGGGGGCCCCGGTGGGAAGAGGAGGTCCCTGGGGGCGCCAGGCAGATGGTGGCGCACGGCTGCTCTGGTTTCATGGCCACAGTCCGTGTCCAAGTGGCGGCCCAAGGTCACTCCGCTGGGCCACTGGGAGGGCCGCTGTGGGTCCCGTGTCCTCTTGTGTCTCTGCTGTCCCCGCTGCACCCTGACGGGGATGTGTCTTCTCCTTTTGCTCTTAGCGTCCCGGAGCTGCTGTCTGAGATCAGCTTCAACGCGGTGGATGGACAGACGGACCGCCGGAGCTTCCACGGGCCCTACGCGGTTCGGGGTGGGCTCCCCCTGTGAGTGCGGCCTGCCCGGGACCACCAGGCCACGCTGGCGCCTGCCTTTGGGGTCTACTTTGGGGGCAGCTTTCCTCTCTTGCCAAAGAAGACGTTTTCTGATAAAAGCAAAGAGGTGACAGGAGGGAGGAGGAAGCATCGGCTGACGGTGTTTCCTTAGCACCCAGGACAGCGCCCGGGAGGGCTGTGGCCTGTGCCTGTCCCTCAGTCCGGATGCACCTTTGGGACTTGGGTTCCCCCGCGGTAAAACGGGGTGGCAGCGTCCTGTGGGAGTGTGGGTGATGGGAAGGTGCGGTTCTCTGCCATGGGCAGCACAGGGCAGGTGGCTGGTGGGTGCACCTGGCCGGGGGGGGTGACCCTCCCTGGTGTCGAGTCCCCGTAGGAGTGGCAGGTGAGGAGACCCAGCGTAAAGGTGCCGGGTGACCGATGCCCACTGTGTGCCAAGGCGGGCTCAGGAGAGGAGGGCGCCGCGCTGCCCTGGGGTCGCAGAAGGTGCCATGGGGAGGGGCTGGTGGGAGGGAGAGGTTGCTGAGATGTGGGTGGCGGGAGCCTCGTGGAGCCGGGGGTCTGGGGGTCTGAATGGAGAGGGAGGAGGTGGGTGGTGATCCTCTTGCAGAATGTTCTGGAACAGGGCACGGGTTACTCTGCCTGGTGTCAGAGGTCCTAGGAGACGGGTGGGGCCTGGGAACAGAGACCACGAGCCGCAGCCCCTGCGTCCGCTCTGGTGACCCAGCGCATGGGCCAGAGCCCGTGGCACTTAGGGAGGAGCCTGTGGCAGTTGTGGGAGGAGCAAGGAGGAGGGAGCAGGCGGCGCCTGGCGTGGCCGTGGCGGGGCACCTGCTTCCACTGATGGCTGTGCGAAAGCGCAAGCGCATCTGGGAGGACTCGGCGGGACTCAGTGTCCACACAGCTGTAACAGAACAGAAAGTAGCTTCTACATAAGCACCAGGCACGTTGCGCGCTGAGCTACACGCTTGCTACACTTCTCAGGTGTACTTTCCGTGAAATCGTAGACAGCTTGCTATTTCCTTCCGACAAATTGTAAAGTTGGTTTTCTTCATTTGGGTCTTTAATACAGTTGGAGGCTCTTTGCACAGGTGTGAGGAGGATGTGATTTTACCTTGTGGATTCCCGTGGAGAGTGGGTGGCCCTCGCACCACTTCCCCGTGAGGTCCGGCTCCTCCCTGAGATCTGACTCCTCCCCGAGGCCTGGCTCCTCCCTGAGGCCTGGCTCCTCCCTCAGGTCTGGCTCCTTCCTGGGGTCTGGCCCCTCCCTTGGATCTGGCTCCTCCCTGAGGTCTGGCCCCTCCCTTGGGTCTGGCTCCTCCCCGGGGTCTGGCTCCTCCCCGGGATCTGGCTCCTTCCCGGGATCTGGCTCCTGGCCTGGAGCCAGGACCTGACTGTGCTGGCCTCTGTCCCTGGCACAGCGTGCTGGGTGATGTCCCACTCGTCTCTGTGGAGGGTTGCGCCACCGTGTGCCTCGGCTCTGCAGTCAGTCTGACTCTGGTGTGGGCATGTCTTCACACTTGGGTTTGCTAGTCTTGAGCCTTTGGCTTCCTGTGAGTTTAAAAATCAGCGTGTCTAGTGCTGTGACAATCCTGACGGGGCATTGATAGGAATTGTATTGAATTTATAGAAAAAATTGGGACAGCGGACACTTACAATAATGAATCTTCTATATGTTCACCAACATTCTTCATGTCTTCTTTTTGTTTTATAATTTTCTTTATAAAGAACTTAAACTTTTAAAAATAACTTATTCTGGCTGAGTGTGGTGGCTCACGCCTATAACCCTAGCACTCTGGGAGGCTGAGGCGGGAGGATCGCTTGAGGCCAGGAGTTCGAGACCAGCCTGAGCAAGAGTGAAACCCAGTCTCTACTAAAAATACAAAAATTAGCCAGGCATGGTGTTATGTGCCTGAGTTGTATCTACTCAGGAGGCTGAGGCAGGAGGATCCCTTGAGGCCAGGAGTTTGAGGTCACAGTGAGCTGTGATGACACCACTTCACTCCAGCCTGGGTGACAGAGTAAGACCTTATCTCAAAATAAGAAAAGATTTATTCCGAGATACTTGATAATTTTATTATTTTTAGGAATGGTACATTTTTTCTATTATATTTTTCAATTGGTTTTTGCAATATGTATGAAATAGGTACGCTGACTTTGTAACCAGCAACTATGCTAAACTTTCTTATTAGTTATATAAATTTGTAGATTTTCTTGGATTTTTTATGGAAACAATATATCCTGCAAATAATGATATTACCTTTCTCCTAACAATCAGTACATACCCCTCTCCCTGTTCTTGCCTCGCCGTGTCGGTGACTCTGGTGTGGTATGGAACATGGGTGTTTCAGCATCCTCCTTGTCCTGTGTCCGGCTTACTGCCAAGGCTTTGACGTTTCATCACTGGGTATCATATTTACTGAAGGAATTTTTATACGTACCTTTATCAGATTAGGAGTGTTTCCTTCTGGCCCAGTTTGTCTGGAGTTTGCATCCTGTTGAATGTTACCAAATGGTTTCTCTGCCGTCAGTTGAGATCATTACAAGGTATGTTTGCCTTTTAGCCACTTAGTGTGCGAACTATTTTTATAGCTTCCTCAATGTCGAGCCATCCTTGCATTCCTGGGATAAACTCTCCTGTTCTTACATTTAATATTTTAAAAAATCTGTGTTCAAAGTGGACTTTGCCTATACTTTATGTTTCCTTACACTGTCTCGTTCCGGTTTTGGTGTGAGGTTGTGCCGATCTCAGGGAATTACCAGGGCAGCCTTCCCTTTTCCGGTCTTCGGAACTGTCTGGGTGGGCAGAGACGATTATCGGCTCCTTGGACGGTTAATGATAACCTTACCTGTCGGACAGGCAAGGCAGGTCCAGCACCTCTTCAGCAGGTGGATTTTTAACTCCTTCATTTTCCTTAATCCTTACTGGAAACACATTTTTCCGTTTCTTCAGTCCCTTTTAGTAACTGTAATTTTCATCTGATGTTTCAAATGTATTGTGTGCATGGTATTCTTCTGTGATTTTTAAAATTCTTTAATCTAAATGTAAAGTAATTATTTCCCCCTTTGAATATTGATACTTACTATATTTTTCTCTTTTTTTTTTGTTGTCCTTGATTATTCTTGCTAGAGGTTAATTTTATTATCTTTTTAAGGAACTAGCTGTTGGGTTTGTTGATTATCTTAATTTTTTCTGTCTCATCTGTTTTTGCTTTTATTGTTGTCCTTCCTTCCTTTCTACTTCTTTGAGTTCGCTCATGTTAGCGCTAATTTACATTCTGTTTTCCTGGTTTTCCAATGAGCGCACCCAGGTCTGTGGATTCTCTGTAAGACTGGCAGGCCGCATCCTGCCAGTTCTGGGGTGAGAGCTCTCACTTTGCACGTTAGAAATTTCGTCATAAGCTCCATTTTAGCCTTCGGGCGATTTAGAGATGGAGTTTTAGTTTCCGAGCCACTCTTCGCTACTGCCCCTGGTTTCACCGCATTCTTGTTGGCGTGTGTTGGCATCAGGCTGGTTCCTGGGATGGACCGAGTGTCCTCAGTGGCCCCGACCCTGCCCCGGTCGCCTCAGCCACACCCTGTCGCCCACTCGCAGTGGCAGAGGCTTGTCTGACGCGAGCCACCGCAGCTCGGACGCGCTGCAGGAAAGGCTGTGTCCGCTCCCGCTGGGGCCGCCCTCCCCTCGGCATTAGGGTCCCGGTGCTGCCATAACAAGGGACCAGAGTGCCGCTAACTGAGGGGTTTAAGGGACAGAGATTCCTCCTCTCGCAGTTCTGGAGGCTGAAGTCTGGGATCAGGGTGTGCAGGGCTGTGCTCCCCCTGAAGCTTCCGGGTGGCCCTTCCTGCCTCTTCCAGCTCCCTGTGTCACCGGCACCATTTGCGTTCCTTGGCTGGTGGGTGCGTCACCCGGTCTCTGCCTCCCTTGTCATACGGCCTCCTCCCTGCGTGTGTCTGTGTGTCTGCTGCTCTTCTTCTGAAGATCGTAAATCGCATGGGGTTTAGGCCAGCCCTGTTCTAATGTGGCCTCACCTAACTGACTGCACTGCAGGGACACTATTTCCAAGTAAGGTCGCATTCTGAGGTTCTGAGAAGGACATGAGTGTGGGGGCACCGTCCGCCTCAGCGCACCTGCGCGCGGACCTGTCTCAGGGCCCCTCCCCAGGACCTCACCCCAGGAGTATCCTGTTGCTCCCGCGCACAGCAGGCCCCGCCCCTGTCCCCCTCACGGCCGCCCAGGCGGCAGCGGGTGGGGAGCTGGGGCCAGGAAGTGAGGTGTGTGGAAGGGGGAGGGAGGTGGGGGCTTCAGCCAGTGCGGAGAGAGCTGGCGGGCGGGGCGTGCACAGGGCTGGGAGGCCAAGCAGGCGGCAGAGGGTGGCGAGGGTGACGAAGTGGCAGCAATGTGACAAAGTGGCGGCACTGGTGCCGGGGGGCTGCCCAGCCTGAGGGGCGGGGGAGGGCTGCTCAGGTCCTGGGCTGGCGGGAGGGGCCATCCTTGCTGGGCTGGCTGAGTGCGTGGACCTTAGCCGAGGGCGGGGGGAGGTAGGACCCTCGGGCGACCCCCCTGGGAGGAAGGGTGGGTGTGAGGAGGGCCCTGAGGGCCGGGTCAGTGGCTGCAGTGGGGTCCGGGGCGGGGCAGGCAGGGAGGCCCCCGCGACAGTGTGGAGGCCGCGCCCACTGCACCACAGCGCTGGTGCTTTTCTTCCTCCTGCGTCTCTGGAACGTGCTGTTTCCAGTGGGGCCTGGCAGTGTGAGGGGCGGGCCTGCCCGACCGGGAGGCGTCTCAGACTCCTCCTGCCGTCCACAGCTAGTGGCCTGTGCTCGGGGCTGTCCGCGTGCCCTGGGGACCCATCGTCTGTGGCCACAGCCAGTGGATGCAGGGCCCCTGGGAGTTTGGCCTGACCCCCACACGACCCCTCGCCAGGTCGCCAGGGCAGGGGCGGCGCTCTCTGTGCGGGGCCTTCGGAGGCGGACAAGTTCAGTCCTGAACGCTCGGCGGGTCCCCTGCCCTGTGGGGAGACGATGGTCATTTCCACACCTCGCCGGCCTGCAGGCGGCTGCACCCCTGCTCCCAGGGAGCCCTTCTCTTGCCAAGTGGCCCCAGGCCGAGACCCTGGCCTCACCCCTGGGGGATCCCCGAGGGACCCTCCTCCCTGGGCCAGGGCCCGTTCCGCAGAGCACCACACTGTCCCCACGTGCGCTGGCTGCTGGCGCCCGCCAGCCCCTCTCAGCTGCCCTCTGCGCTCCGCCCTGGTGCCGGCAGCGGGCTGAGCCGACCCCTCTGCACCCAGGAACCCCATGGGCCGCACGGGCCTGCGCGGGCGCGGGAGCCTCAGCTGCTTCGGACCCAACCATGCACTGCACCCCGTGGTCACCCGGTGAGTTCCACGCCCCGCCAGGCATCTGCACCTCGGCCACACGGTCACGCACACGCGTGTGAGGGCTCCTGGGCTGCTCCCGTGTGCTCGGAGCACCGAGAGGACAGCTGTGCGTGGCGCTTGGCACCAGTGTGGGTGTGAGGGGGTCTGTGGATAGCGGGAGTACACGCGGGCTGAGCTGGCAGTGCCCACCCCCACCCCAGGGCCAGCCCTGACACCCAGTGTGGGACGTGGGGCTGTGAGCCACTCCCTTCGCAGGTGGAGGCGGAATGAGGATGGCGCCATCTGCAGGAAGAGCATAAAGAAGATGCTGGAAGTGCTGGTGGTGAAGGTGCCACACTCGGAGCTCTGGGCCCTGCCGGGGGTGAGCACCGCGGCCTGAGCACTCGACACTCACGCGTCGTCCATCCCCGCAGAGGACACCAGCCCCACCGCCACTGCGCAGTGATGGCTCTGGGCTCCAGCCCGGTTTTGAGTGACAGTTAATGCTGGGACTTTGCTTTTGAGAAGAAGTTCTCCCTCCTGTTCCCTCATTTTGCAGTTGTGAAAACTGAGGTTCACATTCTCTTTGGTGCACAGACACTAACCGAGCACCTACTGCGTCCCAGGCATGGGGCCCAGGGCTAGGGCTGCCTCGGCGCCCGACCGGGGTGCCCTTGCAGGGCTCAGGGTGTGGGGCGCAGAGATGGCCTCACAGGTGGCCCAGACACGATCCTGCCCCTCACTGCCTGGGACCGAGCTGAGCCCTAAAGGCAGGACAGCATCGTCCGGGGTGGGCGGGTGGCGCTGGGGGTGGCGAGAGCCCAGCGTGCCGCAGGACAGGCAGGAGCTGGGCAGGAGAGATGGGATCGCAGATGACAGGACACGGCCGCGAGGGCGGGGGAGGGTGGTGAAGGGGCGCCTGTCACCCCACAGAGAGGCTGAGGCAAGGCCGGGCTTGGGATCTCGGCTGTCCCTGCCCCTCCGAGGTCGTGCCTTTGGCCCGCTACACCCCGCCCCAGCTGCGCTGGGCTCTGAGTGCTGCCGTGGGCAGCGGGTCCTGGGCAGTGTCACTCCAGCCCTGAGACAGGCCACTCAGCTGCCAGACGCTCGCCTGCCTTTGGCTGCCGGGGCCTGGCTGGCTGCCCGCGCCGGGCGTGTGGCCAGTGGAGACGGCGCCAGGGCGGCCTGCGGTCTGGCGTGGGTGCCTTGCTGACCTGCCCTCACCCCTCTGCGCAGGGCTCCCCGGAGCCAGGCGAGACGCTGCCCCGGAAGCTGAAGCAGATCCTCCGACAGGAGTCCTGGCCGTCTTTTGAGAACCTGCTGAAGCACAGCACGGAGGTAGGGTGGCCCTTCGCTCTGCTCCCGCCTGCGTGCCGAGCGCTGCAGGATGAGCACATGTGACGCTGGGGGCAGCCCCAGCCCCGCCGGTGACAGCGTCCTGGCTTCCATCCCCAGCCCCCCTGGTGACAGCTGTCCCACTCAGCTTCACCGGGTGACACCGTCTCTGCCCCCGTCCCCACATCCTGTAGCTCCTGGAGGAAGGAGGAAGGAACTGGGACGGGAGACGTGGCCACCACGGGTGCCTCGCCCTCCTGTGCCCTGACTTTTCTTCTCTCTAAGTCTAGGGGGTCGGGCAGAGGTCCCCTGCCACCTTCCAGGTGGGACGGGCTGGCTGGAGCCTGGTGCCACCTCCTTCCCGCACCCACCCCGCCCCGGGCACAGCTGGGCTGAGGGTGCCGGGAGGCCAGCTCCTCCCACAGGCCCAGACTCCTGCCATCTGGAGGGGCCCTTGCGCCTCTGTGGGGCCGTTTCCTTTACTGGCTTTTCTTAATTACGAGGGTAGCGCGTGTCTAAAGTGCGAGGCGTGAACTAGAAAGTGACGCCCCCACCGCACTCCCTCACGGGGACCGCCCGGCCGGGCTGCTCCGTTTACTTCCCTGGAAACCTCGACCTTCCCGCAGAGGCCGTGTCCGCGCGACACACACAGACGCGCTCTTAATAAAAACGGCCACGGTGCGCTTTCCCGTGACGTGCTTCTGCTCTCGGCCGTGAGGGCCCTATTTTTAGGTCACATTTACGACCTCAGTCTGTTTCAGGACTCCCTGGTATTTTGTCGCCCGCACGGCCCAGCGGTTGTTTGAACTGCGCTCAGGGTGGGCGGCCAGTCGTTACCAGTCCTGTGGTTCCACCCGGGTGGGCTCCGTGCACCTGCCGGCAGCCTCACCCCCGCAGCGGCTTCCTGGGCTTAGCCGCCGCGGCCCTCGGGGTACCAGGCCGCCTCTTTTTTTACCGTCTAAAGCATTTACTTTTCCCTGAGGTAAATTCACCGAACATTCCCCATTTCGAAGTGAGCGATTCCGTGGCCTGCGGCCCGTCCACGCTGCAGCGCGGCCCGCCCCGTCTAGAGGCAGAGCGTCCCTCACCTGCACACGGAGCCCCCGCCCTCCCCGCCGCACCAGCTCCTGCCTCTGGATTTTGTTCTGGGTGTTCATCATGTGTGGCCCCTGTGGCCGGTGGCCTTTGTGTCGACCTGGTGCTGTGAGCCGTGTCCCAGAGGCTCTCTGCCACCCCTCGTGAGCCCCGCCCAGGTCCGGGGTCATGTCTGAGGGCCGTGGTGCCAAGGCTGGAGTGAGCTGGGAGCGGGAGGGGGGCCAGGAGCCCTTGAGATGTGTCGTCAAGGATGGAGCCATTGGGCAGCCCCGGGTTGGCTGGACGGGGCAGGGCGGGGGCCAGGCCGGGCGGCTCAGGCGAGCAGAAGCTGTGTTCAGGGCAGGGACAGAGGCGGGGCCGCCCGGGCGTGTCCGTCTGAGGCAGGTGGGGCTCCGTGGGGCCCCTCGCTGGAAGAAGCCCCTGGGTGGTGGCTGGGCGGGCTCAGCCTGCTCTCCCTGCAGGTGTACAAAGGGTACATGGACGACCCGAGGAACACGGACAACGCCTGGATCGAGACGGTGGCCGTCAGCATCCACTTCCAGGACCAGAACGACGTGGAGCTGAAGAGGCTGAACTCGGTACGGGGCTCGGGCTCCGAGGAGGGGCGGACATGGGGTGCTCGGGAGGGCCCGAGGGCCAGAGAGTGGAGGCTGCAGGGGTCAGAGCCTTGTCCAGAGGGACCAAGGGGGCACCCGGGAGAGGCCGGAGGGCCACAGCAGGAGGCTGGAGCTGAGAGGGCTGGACAGGTGACCACAAGGGTCCTTGGGACCCAGGTCCTCTGGGGAGGCCGTTAGGGGTGTCCAGGGTGAGGCTGTCGTGGTCTCCTTGCTGCTGTACAGCCTTTCGCAGGGACGTGGCCCCTGTTCCTAGACCAAGCCTGCGCATTCCTAAGCCAGACCTTTGTCCTTCCAGAACCTGCACAGCCACGACCGGGGCGTGTCCATCCGGTGGCAGGTGGTGGACAAGCGCATCCCCCTGTATGCGAACCACAAGACTCTCCTCCAGAAGGTGGCCGCCCTGTTCGGGGCTCACTACTGACTGTGGCTTTGGGACCAGCAGCGCCAGCTGTGGTCGGCCCTCGGGGACGTGGGCCTCTCTCTGCTGTGCCCACACGGGACGCGGGCTGACACTGGGCACCACATGGCGTGGTTTGGGTGGGTCTGTGACCCCTTGTGGCCACGTACAGTGGCTGGCCAGATGAGCTCTTGAGTTGGATGGTGTCAAGGTGCCCCGAAGGGAGAGCTCAAGGCAGGGGACAGGCCACCCAGAGGTGAGGGGCCAGCACTGCCAGCCGGGAGCCTGGTCTCGGCCGGGGCCCATTCCCTCCTTGATCACGTCATGCTGGGCAGCACGTCTGCCACGGTGCATGGGACCAAGGCTGAATTTCCTGGCGTCAGGGTCCCTGGTGGCATCCTCGGGCCCATCCTATGAGGACTTGGGGTGGGCGACCTGCCATGCCCCCCAGATGGCCTCCACGTGCCGATGTGACCTAACTCGCCCTTTGGCTGGCCTGGACCAGGTTGGGGACAGGCTGCAGAGGCACAGGGGCCCAGCTCTCCCTCTGGCCCTCCCCGGGAGCCACGTGCCTGCCATGCCCAGGAAGGAGGAGGGGCCGCAGGGGGCTGGGGACGCCAGGGGCCTCCTGGTTTGGTGTCATGACTCACGGAAGCAGAAGCTATCAGGAGCCATCAAGTGGGGGAACGCCGTGAAAACCCAAGATGTCAAATCTGCTGTCTCAGGCCGGCCTGGCTGTCCCGTCTCCGCTCTCCACAAATAAAGTTACTGACGTGTGCAGTGGTCAGGGCACTGTGTCTGGGCCACCGGAGCTCTCTCTGACCCACGGCAAGCTTCCTGTCCTGTGGGCACCCGCGGCCCCTCGGGCCGAAACTCAGGTTTCTGCTGTGACCCAGTGGCTCCGTCTTCATCTCCGTAAACCCAGGCCCCAGCGTTGCCCTGACCCCTCCAAGCTGGGACTCGGGCACCACGCACCCTCCCCCTTGGCTTCCCCTGCCCGGTGGTGCCGACACGCCCCTGCAGGAGCTGCCACGGAGCCCAAGGACCGCCTGGTCACGGAGCAAGAGCCACAGGTGATGTCCACCCTCCCTGGGCAGGCCTCTGCACCTGCACCAAGCTCTCGGGCCACCTCCCTGTCCCCAGGCCCCCTCCTCCAGCAGTGCTGACCCCTTGCTCCCTGCGCAGAAGCTCTCCCTCTGCCAGCTTTCGGAAGAGTCGCGCTGGGAGCTGGTGCGGGCTCTGGGCAGTGGCTGGACCTGCCCTGTCACCAGCACCTCGGCCCAGGGGCCTCCGAAGCGACGAGTTTGAAACCACCAGTGCAGCCACCAGACCAGGCTCACGTCACCACCCTCCGTCCACACCCCCCACATGTTCCCGGCCACGCGTGTCCCTCCACTGGCGGGAAAGTCTGCTCGTTTGTCCGTAACTCGCCCAAGCCTGTGCCCGGCGCTGCCCTGCTCTTGCTCCCAGCTGCAGCTCCAGCTGAGCTCCCCCTGTCCAGGGCAGGTGTCGTCCCCCTGTCTGCAGGTTCCAGAAACATCTATGCTGACGGCGGCACCCAGGGAAGGGGTGGTAGCTGCGCCCATGGACCGCACCAGAGCGGCAGCCCCCAAGGGCACATCCACTCTGCTCCCTTAAAACACGCACAACATGGATGTCGCCGTCCTGACCACTTTTAAGTGCAGGGTTCGGTGGCCACCAGTGCGTGCACGGTTCTCCCCATGGCTCTGCTCACCCCAGGGCTGCTGCCTGGCGGGGGGCGGCGGGCGGGGCTGTTCCAGCAGCAGTGCCCCAGGGGGCCCAGGCCGAGCCCGTCTGTGGGTGCGTGCTCGGGCCCAGCCGCGCACCAGCAGCAGCCCGTGTGAGGGAGGTTTTGCCCTTTTTGCAGACGCGGGACCTGGAGCCCAGAGAGGGCGGCGCCTTGCTCAGGCCCTTGGTGGACATACCGTCCATGGCTGCACCACGCTGTGGCCACAGAAGTCAGCGGCCGTCAGAACCCAACGGGTGGGCACGAAGTGAATCACCGACCACTTACTGTCTCACTTTTTTGAGACAGGCACGACACCGTCTGATCACTTGTTCATTCATTCACGCCTGGCTGCTGAGCACTGTCTATGCCCCGGGGCCCTGGCTGGAGGGGCACAGTTCTGAGCGAGACCCCGTCCTACCCAAGGGCCTCGAGGTCTGAAGCGAGATGAGGACACGCAGGATGGCAGAAGTGGGAGGGCCGTGGCCGGGGTCAGGTGGGAGAGGAGTGAGCGTTCTGTCGAGGAATTGGGGGTGGTTCTTGGAGGCGGTGGCACAAGAGTTGAGACTCACAGGGCAGAGAAAGTAAATGGGGACCCAGCAGGTTCCAGAGGCACAGACGTGGGGATGCCCCGCTGTGGGCAGTGCGAGGTGGCCTCATCGAGGCTCGTGGCTTCGCGGGACATGGGAGAGCTGTAAGGGTTGGTCTCGGGCCACTTTCCACCGGGGCAGGACTCAGAGAGCAGGTGGGGCTGCGGGAGGGTGGATGCAGACGAGATGGCTGGAGCACCAGGAGCTATCTGGGGCCACAAAAATGAGGGCCACACCTGCTGTGGCAGAGGTAGCAGGCTCCTCATGGGCTGCCGTGGGGCCCCCTGTGTCCTCACCGTGGGGCTTTTCCTTATGTGCCAGAGGAACACACTGCTGCGTTAGAGCCACTGTCATTCTGGATGCCAACCGATGTCACCCTCACCGTGGCTAAACGTGCAGCCAACCAGTTCTGACCGAGTCTCAGACAGCCTAGGACCAGCGGACGTTTGAGGAAAGCCAGTAACTACCAGAGGGAGGCATCAAAGTGTCAGGGAAGCGGCGCCAACAGGACCTCTAGGAAAGGGGAATGACCTTCGTACCTGCTGGAGGAGACGCGGCCACCCCAAACTAAACAGGAAACATAAAAATGAAAAAATGTGAACATCCAAAAAAAGTTAAAAAGTGATGGGTGAGTAACCAAGCGTGCGAGGCTGGAGGACGGACCTGTGACTGGGAGAGCCGCGGGTCCCGCCTTCGGGCGCTGGCTGTCCTCCGCGCCTCCGTGCGCCATATCAGGAGAGACCCCGCCTCTCTGTGCGCAGCAGAGAAGGATAAAGAGGGAAAACGAGAGAGAAACCCGACACTCAGGACAGATCCGGACGTCCCTCCACCAAGAGCCGCGGAGAAGAACAGGACCAACGGGAGCAGACAGCGACACGGGCCACGAGCGCCCAGGGCAGCCGGTGTCCCCGTGCCCAGAACGGCGGCTGCCACAGGACCGACTCCGTGCATGGAATGCTCGCCGGGACGGCAGAAGGGACACATCCGGTCTGACGACGTTCAGTGAGAACAAAACCCCACATGTGTCTCCATAGCATTTTAGGCCCATGAGAAAAAAGAAAATCTTAAAAACCAACATGATTTAAAAAAAAAACCCAAAACAGCTGGCTCCAGGCTTCCCCGCCGCGATGACGGAGACAGGAGAACGTCTGCAGACTTCCGAGGGGACGCAGGTTTGTTCCGGCATCGCAGACCCAGCAAACTGGTATTCGAGTGGCAGCTCCAAACAAAGTCACTTTAGAATCAAAGGACACAGAGCGTGTCGCCACGCGTCCTTCCCGAAAGAATCCCTCAGAGATGAATGACAGAAAACAACAAAGCAAAACAAAACACGCACTGCCTCATCTTCCCGGGCTGCTTCAGCGAAACAGAAATCAGTGTTCTCACAGCGCTGGGCGCTGGGAGTCAGTGATCGGGGGGCGGCGAGCGGGGTTTCTGGTGAAGTCTCCGTTCCTGGCTCGCCGGCAGCGTCTTCTCGCTGCGTCCTCGGTGGCCTTTCCTCTGCGCGCCCACGCGAGAACGCGAGCTCTCGGGGGCCTCCGCGCACCGGGACGGCAGTCCCGCTGGGTCTCAGCCCCACCTTGCAGCCCACGTCACGTAACTGCGCAGAGGCCCCGGCTCCCAGCACAGCCGCGCCGCGTGAGGGCTCCAGCAGGTGGGTTCTTGGGAGGACACGGGCATTCAGTCCATCACACACACGCACACGCACACACGCACACACACACACACACACGCACACACACACACAGGCATGCACACACACGCACACAGGCACACACGCACACACGCACACAGGCACACACACAGGCACACACAGGCACACGCACACACACACACAGGCACGCACACACAGGCACACACACGCACACACACAGGCACACACACACACACACACTAAGCTCTGCGGGCAGCAAACACCTCACCCACACGTGTGGCCAAGTCTTACAACTGTCCGGGCACAACATCACAACAAAATCCGGGACGGAAACTTAGTGCCTCTGGCCACCGTGCTGTTAACAACCGTGTCGTGTGCTTGAAGCTTGCTGGGAGGGCGGATGCCAAGTGTTCTCACCGCACAGAGAGGAAAGAAAGAGGAGAAACTGCCCACTGGGAGGGGTGAGGCGTTCACTGGCCCCGGCGGTGGCCGTCCTGGATGCACGCGTGTGTCGGGACAAGCCGTGCTCCTTGAAGACAGACGGTTCCTATTTGTGAATTTTGCCTCGGCGAAGTTGGAAAATGTCTTTAAAGACCGAACAGTAGCCTAGAATTAAAATCCCAGATGGCTTCACCTGGGAGGAGGCAGAGGAGGGCTGTGGGGGCAGCCTGAGAGGGACGAGGTTCTCGTCTCGCTCGGGAGGAAGAAAGCAGACGCCGACCAGACACAAGCGCCGGGAGGAAAACGCAGCCTCAGAAACGCGGAGGCAAAACTTTAGGGTCCCACTAGCAGGACGGAAATGGAGGAAGAACTTTCACCAGGAATTAAATGGAACAACAAAAAAATCAAGGATAGAAAAAAATACTGATAAAGAATAATTAATATGAAATTAAAAAGCAGGGAAGAGTCTAACCGTGTCAGTAATCACAGCACAGTTAAGTGCAGGTTCTCATGTTGGGATTAAAAAGATAACACAACAAATTCCTGCTATTTTCCACTTACAAAGACTCACCCAAAACAAAGTGACATTTAATACCCAAGAACTGGGGACGTCTGTGCTGGGCCGAAGCCTCAGAGCGGTGCGGACACTTGTCACAGGCAGCAGAACTCAGCACCAAACGCTCGTCCCGTTAGGGACCAAGAGGACGTTTCACCGGAAAAGGCACAAGACCACTGAGAAGATGTCACCATGGGGACTCTTGCCTAACACCCGCTTCTAAATATATAAGGCAAAACTGGCAGGAATTTGGGGAGGAATTGGCCAATTCACAGTAATAGTTGAGATCTCGGATTCCTCTCGGAAATCGGGACCCAGGAAGCAAAAGCCCACAGGGCAGGGTTTGTGCGATGCAGTGCGCAGGCCTGGGGCCGTTCTGTGGGTGCGCACATGTGTGTATGTGTGTGTGTGTGTGTGCGTGTGCATGTGTTGTGTGTGTGCGTGCATGTGTCTACAAATGGGTGTGCAGATGTCTACATACATGTGTGTACCTTTATATACCATCACATATTACACGTGTGAGTCTAGTATAATATAGGTAGATACACATACATACATAAACACGCATATTGCGCATGTGAAGGACATACGAGCAAACATTCCGTAGCGTGTCCGCATGACTCTGAACCTACCCAGCACGGCCACCCGGCTACAGGAAGGTCCGGAGGAGACACTTCACGCCCAGACACACACACACATTCGGAGGAACCGAGTAGGGACCATGCCAGAGAGCGGATCCGGGCAGGTTC